GCCGCGGGCGTCTCCGACGCGCTCGCCCCAGAGCCTTGTTGCCCTCTCGCTCCAGCCTGTCCCAGGTCTGGTTCTGCCCGGTCTGGGTTCCCGGGGCAGCGCGGTACCCGGAGACCGGGGCTGCGGCGTGTGCTGGTGTCCGCCTCTCCTTTCAGAACCGTGTGGACCTTCTCCTGGTGCTGTTTGCACGCCCCGGGCCAATATCCGTTCCTCTGTAGCCCACCTGTGGCAACAGGGAGTTACTCAAGGTTCCAGCTTAAACCCCGCGGGGTTTACAGCCCGTTCGCGTTCGGGGCGATGCTCTTTCCTGGACGAGCGTCTCTCGTGTCGTAGCCAGAGGTGTGTGTCTGCACAGTGGCTTCTCCATGCCAGGTGACAGGAGCTCTTCAGGCCCTGACCGCAAGGCACTAGAGATCATATTCAGGCAAGGGAAGATGTAGTTATTTATTACAGTTCAGATCCTTTTTATAACTTGGATATTTTATAATGGGTTCTTAAATCTGTAGTAGGAAGTTACTCGATCCTCCAAGCTATAGAGAAGCCTTGATAAATCTTTGCTTAATTAGAAGCAAAATTCTGTTATAGCTGGGCTTGGGTTTGTGCCACATAGGTTCTTAGCAGAGGATTCTTGCAAACCGATACCTGATAAAAGCACAGACGTCTGTCTGCTGTGAGAGTGTGCCCACAGAACACCGTATCCGTTGGCACCCGGTGTGTTTCTCCGTGGCCCGGGTCACCTGAGAATAAACCGTAGCACCCAACGCAGCCGCCATTATCCCAGCCACGCTGGATGTGCGCCTGGGCCTTGTCTGACGGACACAGGACCTCAGCTGCCACAAGACAGCCAGCCGTGAGTGAAGGCGACTCAAAGCTTTCACTTTTCTCTGGCCAGAGGAAGCCCAGAATAAACAGCAAAGCCCTCTGAGGCAGGTCTAAGTAGAGCTTAGGGATTAACTGTGAAGGCCCTTGTCCTCTGAAGCGCGTCCTTTAGGATTGGCAAAGCAAGCTAATGGTCTCCACGCTTTTTCCCCTGTTCTGACTTTCTTTTTCTTTTCAGTTAGCTTTTTCTCCCCACTGTTCTGGCTATGTGGTAGACCAAAACCAAAGTTAAATCTGTTATCTCATGCAGAGAGGGCTTCAGCTCGGCTTTTGTTTCACAGGCATGAATGCCTTAGCGTAGCTGTCTGGTTTAGCAGTTAACTGCGACTTACCTGTCCCTCTTGGACTGTTTTGCACTTCAGTTAACGCCTTATAAGGACAGATTGTTTCGTTAAGGACTAACTTGTCCAGCCCAATTCCAAAGCTTCTGTTCCGGGGGAATTTGGAAATCTAATGCTATTTTTTCTGCAAAAAATGAGACTTCCCGAAGCAGGGAGGAAATGACTACAGAGGGACAAAGTAGGCCAGTAACCTTTAGCAAAGACAAAAAAAAAGATTCTTTGCAACCTGTGCTGTCATTATAGAAGTGAGAAAAAAATATGCTGGGAGCTACACATTGCTTTCAAGAGGAAGCCCAGAGCCCAGGTGGGCTTTGAGCTGTGGAAATCCAGCTCAGGGTAACAGGATGAAGCTCTGCTGAGTCACAGGAGTGTTTTTCAGAAGTGGCTTGAACCGATCCTAGTGAGAGATGTGGCTTTCAGGATATCCAGGGTAATGTGTTGAAAATATCGGGAGCCTGGGAGCTTCCTACCAGTCCTTCTTCCTGAGAAAAACCACTGGAGCCAGGGAGTTTTAAGGTAGGAAACTTGATGGAAACTTGCCACCTAAGTTATGCCCAGGATTAAGAAGATGAGCTTAAGTGATTTGTTTATTTTCATCTGGCTACGTATGCTCTCTGTGTACAGCCTTCATTCTGGCACCAGTGGCAGTTAGCAGAGCTGTTGTGTGCAGAGGCAATTCAGGGCTTTACCTAGCTTAGAAACAGATTGGAAACTTAGGTTTTTTCCAACTTGATCTTTAAAAATTGGAGCTTTGGATCTCCAGACCCCTTTGAGCTTTCCGCCTCAGGCTTGCCACCAAGCAATAGAAGTAGACGTAGCTGCTGTTTTGGGATCTGCTTTGCAAAGGTTGCAATCTGTGCAAGATGTAGTTCTAGTAGAATAGAGGGGCAGGCAGCCATAGGCTATCCTGCATGTGGATTGAGAACCACCTCCCCTGCTGGTAAAATCCATCGCAATTCCTTGGGAGCAACGCTGCCGTTTCCTAGCCTGACGTCGTCGTTCTCTGACTGTACCTGGTTTCTTGCATAGATGAGCGTTTTTCATCCTGTGCCTGTTCAGGCAGTCACCCTTTAAATGTGGTGGTTAGGTATTTTGTGCTTCTTTCTCCTACTTTTGAGCTGCACTGTCTTCATAAAAGCTCCGTTATTACTGCACCACCTGCTGAATGGGATACATGACTATCTCTTTGCTCAGCACTATTTTTTGTAAATGGTTTGACAATAAATGCGCGCGAGCGCTCGTTGGCTGAAGGCAGTCGATATCTAATGTAGACTTCCTTTTCCAGGTATTACCCATGCCTGCTGCCGGTTGTTTCAGAGCCCTGTGAGAATGCTGTGCTCTACAGGTACCCTGTGCGCTTGTCAGCCAGCCCGTGCAGTATCCCAGAAGCGTTAGATTTAGTTCCCTTCTAGTCTCCTTGCCTTGTGCTGGAGGACAGGTCATTGCCGCAGGCTCCTGGTTAGCAGTCCCTGTAAGCCATGAGTCCTGACAAGTCCTCACCCTCTGCTAGTACCCGCTCTACACGTAGTATAGAAAACAGCCGGAGGCGTAGGTATTTCCCTCTCCAAATGTGACATTTCTCTCAAATGTGTGGGCCGCTCTTGCTTTCTTGAGATGGGAATTCATTCCTTGCATCTGGCTGTGATAACGTCTCAGAGGAACAAGCTGCTATTGTCTTAACTCTTCTGTGTATTCAGAGTTGTGGGACTGGGATGGGCTGATGGAGACAGTGTAACTGCTTTGTATCTGGGCTAGCTGATAAAACCTTTTCTTGGTTCAGCCAGAGTGAACTGGGGAGCCTCGTAAGGCAATAGGAAGTAGTTTCTTGCATGCAGGAACTGATCCCAGTGGAGCCTGTGGTGGCATGAGTATTGAAGCTGGTAAGTGTTTTGGAACCTGGTATCTCCTTTGC